CTCTTCCTATCCCCCCCTCCTACCTCCACCCTCTCCTCATCCCCCTCCATCTACCTCCAACACACACATCCAGCCTCCACCTCTAATTGTATTTGCCCGTCTCCTCTCTCCAGGTACACCGGCAAGCCAGAGAGAGGGTGAGTCACCTTCAGGGCGGTTCGGATGCTGTCACAATGGTGATTAGGGTATAGGGTGAGTTTCTCCAGTTCCCCACAGTCAGATGATGCCTCCTGCTGGATAGCGGGGTGGCAGCAGATGCACCAGTTGTTCTCCTGTGGGTGAGACACAGATCAGGGTTAGGTGAGTGTGAGCAGTTAGTGGAGGCTGCCACCACATTAGTGCACACTCACCTTCTTACAGGAGTTGAAGGATTTTACCAGCTGCCCGTTCTGGCAAGACAGGATTGACCCCGCGAGGCACAGCATGACACTCAGGGCGCTTAGCAAGGTGAACACTGTTACCTGCAACACATACATCAGCACTGAGTATATCTGGGCACACACAGATTCATAGAACATAACAGAAGCCTATACAGGAACTCAACCCACAACTCTCCTGTTGCTAGACTACAACCCCCAGCACACCTTTTGATCCTTCCTATGTGTAGGCACTCTGGCCGTGTTCTGTACATTTATAGAGAGAGTAAATTGTGGAAACCTGACAAGTCTTAAAACATGCCATCCTCATCCAAGGTATGCAATTGATGGAGTATGGGGGCACCTTGTCCTCTGTACAGGTTCTTTCAAACATAAACTTCACGCCATTTTTGCACTCATAACTCCACCTTGCTCATATTTCTGCAACTAATTTTCCTTCTTACAATGCAATAACATTATAGACAATCCTCTGGGAGTTGATAGCCATCATTCATAACATAATAACTAAGTTAGAATTTTGTTCTGAGTTTTGTTCTCACAGTAAACACAGTACACCTGCGCCCCCTTTTCTTGAACCACTATGGTCCCAAAAGCCTGCTCTCCTTTCCCGGTTACCACAACAGGCCAGACCTTGATCACTCACCCTGCACAAGTGCTTGCTCCCCTATCCCTGTCCCCACCCCTGCCTAGACTGCTCCAATCCTAGCAAGTTCTGGTCTCTCCAATGCACCTCTGCCAAGACCTCTCCACTCCTGACCAATGCACCCTTGCCAAGACTTCTCCACTCCTGACCAATGCACAGTTGCCAAGACCTTTCCACTCCTGACCAATGCACCTCTGCCAAGTCCTCTCCACTCCTGACCAATGCACCCTTGCCAAGACCTCTCCACTCCTGACCAATGCACAGTTGCCAAGACCTTTCCACTCCTGACCAATGCATCCTTGCCAAGACCTCTCCACTCCTCACCAATGCACCCTTGCCACATCCTCTCCACTCCTGACCAATGCACCCTTGCCAAGGCCTCTCCACTCCTAACCAATGCACCCTTACTAAGTCCTTTCCACTGCTGACCAATGCACCCTTGCCAAGACCTCTCCACTGCCTACCAATGCACCCTTGCCAAGACCTCTCCACTCCTGACAAATGCACCCTTGCCAAGACCTCTCCACTGCTGACAAATGCAACCTTGCCAAGACCTCTCCACTGCTGACCAATGCACCCTTGCCAAGTCCTCTCCACTGCTGACCAATGCACCCTTGCCAAGTCCTCTCCATTCCTGACCAGTGCACCCTTGCCAAGACCTCTCCACTTATGGCCACTGCCCAGACCTCTGTATTCCCAAGAAATGCCCCACTGCCCAGATCTCTCCACACCTGGCCACTGCACCACTACGCAGACCTCTGCATTCCCTAGAAATGCCCCACTGCCCAGGCTGCTCCCAGGACTGTGCCTGAAACCTTCCCCCACATAAACACACACATATACATTCTGATTCTCTCCTAACCCTACCCTCGTCTGTTCTGGAATGGGCACACTTTTGCTAGTATACTATACATATACACTATATACTACAAGCACTGTATATATTATATACTAAACACCACATACTATAAACATGTTCTATATATACTAAACACTACACATATTATACACTATATACCATCTACTATTATCGATCTTATCCTGAAGTAGGATGGACCAACAGGTCAGTAATTGAAAGGTGGAGATGGCTCAGAGGTAAGTCCTCCAGCTGTGGAATATGAAGGTGCAAGATTAATCCCAGAGCCAATACCTCCTGATGACTCTGAAGGGGTTGCCTCATTTCTCAGGAATCAATGGTGCCCCACCATGTGCCCTAGAGCGCATTGGAGTCCCTGTACCTGGAGTGACTCACATCTCAGGGGTCACAGGTGTGCAGAATGTGAGGATTCTAGATCCGGGAGGAACTGGCTGGAACCACTGAGAAGTTCCAAAATTGCCAGGCGGTCACCTGAATAGGCCACCCAGAACAGGTAAGTGCCATTTCTGTAGCTGGCACATTTCTTAATGGAGACCTACTCCCTTCTGTGATGCCACCATCCAGTAGCACCACTACCCTGGACACCAGATTGAGGTGACCTGTCCAGAGTCACCAGGAGCCCACTCAGAGAATAATACCCTCATCCCCATCATACTGGCAGCCCACAGAGCAGGCTACGAGTCTTCTTAGTTATCTCCAAAGTGTTTGTCCTCCCATTTACCAAGGACTGGTAGAGTTAAAAAGCAGCAAAGGAATGGTTCAAACTTCGCAGGATGCAGAGACCATACCTCTTAGCCATCCCCTCTTCTCACAGAGCACTGTCTCCTCATTCTCCAGGACGAGAACTGGTGGAATTATAAAGTGGTAAAGAAATGGTTCATACTCACAACACTTTCTCAGCATCCAGCACTTACCACCCAGCCATTCCCACCTCACATAGCACATACTGCACATCCTTCTATTTCTCCAGGACAAGGACTGGTGATATTATGAAGCGATAAAGGAATGGTACGAACACAAAGCACTTTCTTAGCATGCAGAGCACTCACCTCCCAGCCAACCCCTCCTCTCAGAGATCATGGTGTGCTTAACCTTCTATTTCTGCAGGACAAGGACTGGTGGAATTTTAATGTTGTAAAAGGATAGTCCAAACTGACGGCGCCTCCTAAGCATCCAAGTACTTACCTTCCAGCCATCTTACCTTATTCTGTTACCTTATTCCCACTTTGTGTGGGGAGGTTGTAGCTCTCCAGGGTCACCGGAGAACCATCTCTCAGCCAGGGAATTGTTTCTAGTATGGAGATTAGTTCTGATTGGAGGAAATGGCCCCCCTGAGTGTCAAGACCAGCCTATGATGTGTTGTATGCTCATATGGAGGTTCATATTATTCATTTTTCGATTTTCTTCCTTTATAACGGGTATAATAGTTCCATGTCCTCCGTAACACCAAACAGAATGAAGGTTTGTACCGGGCGTTCCAGATAGAGGCTGCAGGTGATGAGATCTCCTTCTGGAGTTCAGGATCCATGTGTAATAAAGAAGGCTCAGTGAGGGATTGAACTCAGGACTCATCTGTTAAATGAGCACTTCAGCAACACCTACCCTCAATCAGTATCAGTCTTCTATTTCAGTATATTAAAACAAATGTGCTCACCCTCCTATTTCTCCAGGACAAGGACTGGCCAATTATAAATCAGTAAAGGAATGTTTCAAACCCATGGTGTCTTCTCAGCATCTGGAGCACTTACCTCCCAGCCATCTCCTGCTCTCACAGTGCCATGTGCTTGTACTCCAACTTTCCAGGACACATACTGGCAGAATTGTAAAGCAGTAAAAGAATGGTTTGCGCTCAGAGGACCTTCTCAGCATTTGGAGCACTTACCTACCAGCCAGGGGCGTAACTACAGATCATGGGGCCCCATAGCAAAAATGTTATGGGGGGGACCCCTTGACGACCGCTCTCTGAGATGTGTCTAATGAAACAAAGATCCCAAAGACTCCTCTTGTGCCTCAGCTACACTGTAGACTTTGCAGAGGATGATACAGTGCTGTGTTGTCTTCACATGTTCTATGTTTAATTTGTCTCAACAACCTAATGGGGCCCCCTTTCACCCCCCAGGCCCCATAGCAGCCACCTGGGCTGCTTTGGCTATAGTTTATGCCACTGCTACCAGCCATCTCCTGTCGCAGAGTGGCGTGCTCAACCTCCTATTTCTTCAGGACAAGGACTTGCAGAATTATAAACTGGTAAAGAAATTGTTTATATTTAGAGCACCTTCTCAGCATCCAGAGCACTTACCTACCAGCCATCTGCTCCTCACATAGCAAAGTGTGCTTGTTTTATTGAAACATATAACTAATAGACTAAAACAGCAAATAAACCACCACAACCTTTACAGAACATTCCTCAATGTACAGAATTCATCTGCAGAGACCATTGTGTGACACCTCCGCTGAGACTCCCCTACATGGAAATACTTCTCTATATACCTGTCCTACAGCCGCAATACCCCATACTGACCATCAGCATTAGACCCTAAACCAAACAATGTCCACCTCCTCCCATCCCCACGTACTTACCATCAGTGTGAAGGGCTTCTTCCATGAGATGCAGCCGATGAGCCCTGAAACAGCCAGCTGAGCGGGGGGAGAGAGGAAAGAACACGGCCAGTTTGGAGATTTCAAGGGAAGGTCAGGGAAAGGCAGCAGAAGGGACTCAGGATGGGTTTTTGTTGAAAAGTTGGCAAGAGTCATACGTGGAAGAGACGGGTGAGGGAAACCATAGAGGAGAAAAACAGCACAGGATAAGAAGATTAAAAGGATGAAGGAAACAAGGGATGAGACGATGGGTGGTGTATTGAGTAGTAAGGGAGGATCATATGAGAAAAAAAGGATGGAGGAGAGTTAGAAAAGGATAAAAACAAAAACAAATCAACAGGTAGAAGGAATGATTAGGTGGGTATCCATCACGGAAAGGATGAGTGAGGGAAACCAGGAGGTGAGGTGGAAGAGATGAAGAAAGAAAGAGATGAAATCAGATTGAATAGATTTTATGTTTCCTACAACTTTGGCACAGCAAAAGCTGATCTAACAATGTGCCAATAACAGTGTTGGCCATCCTGACTGGGGTACATCTTCTAAAAATGAATAAGATGGATATTGGACACAGAAGAGGACTTTACCATATGTGATGTCCTTGCCCAGGACCACAAAAAGCCTTAATTAGGTTGAAGCTTAATAACAACTTTTAGTACTACGACCACTTGTCAGAACTGTCCTCCAGATCTCAGGTGGTGCTCAGTTTGGAATGACGGAGAGTTATCATTGGTCTACAGTGGACTATGGTTATGGAGGACTGGGCACAGTTAAGATCTCCTGTGGTTTTCTCTACAATAATAAACGTTAAGGTAAACAAGAGATATAAATGATATGTAGCTTTTACTGAACCAGCTGAGACATCCAGTAAAAGTGTTTCAAATTAAATGACCTCTTCGTCCTATATTTTATATTTTGTTCCTCCAATTTACTGTTTATAAGTAATAGGCATGTAAGCTGCGGAAAAATTTGGTTTGTTTCGGATATTTCGTGTTTCGATCCAAAATTCAATTCAGTTCGAATTCCGACTAAATCCGAATTTTCATTAGTTTTGGATGAGTTTACGAATATCCGTTGCGAATACCACAGGAAACCATATACAGATATTAATACTAAAGCTGAATCTCCTAGATCCGAATGGCATTCGGGATCCGAATTTCCAAATTGCATTCGATAGCTCCAGAATGCCATTCGGGTCTGGGAGCCTCAGCTTCAGTAATATATGTATATGGCTCCCAGACCCAAATGGAAATCGGGAGCTACCGAATGCAATTTGGAGATTCGGATCCCGAATGCCATTCAAGTCTGGGAGCCATATACATATATTACTGAAGCTGACACTCCCAGACAGGGCTGGATTTGCCACAAGGCCCGGCCTTGGGGCAGCAAGGAGTAGAGGGGCAGCAGGGGTGTGGAATTCCTATCTCCCGATGCCCGGGCGGGTATTTGTTTTCCACATTTAGCCCTGCTTTGGGCAAGCAGAGCTAAATGTACAGCGGGGAAGCCACCGCTTGTTTTGTACAAGTGATCCTGGCGACATTGTATGCAGCCTGCAGGTCTGCCATTCTCCATGGGCGCATTGAGGAACCTGGCCTTGGGGCAGCAGAGAGAGTAAATCCGGCCCTGCTTTCAGACCCGAATGCAATTTGGAAATTCGGATTCTGAATGCCATTCAGGTCTGGGAGCCTCAGCTTTAGTATTATATGCATATACTGTATATGACTCCCATGTTGCCGTGACGAAAATTTGTGTTCAGACCCATTCGCATGCATTAAACTGAAAAACACATCCGATTGGCCAGAAAAGTCACATGTCCGATTCAGTTTAGTTTATGAACGATATTCAGGCGGGATCCGAAATTCGGAAACGGATATCAGGATTCGGACATATTTGGATGCATTGGGATTGGGAAATTCGGATGTTTACAAATGTCTAATAAGTAACTTCTCCATGAACTGTCCTCCTACAGGCTGTAAAAACAATACATATCATATATGACCACCAGGAGTATGGACTCTCCATCAATCCATAAACAACTTGCACATTCCAGAGCCTTCCACGAGATAATTGGCTTTTGGAACAGATCGAAGCCTTGATCTATAATCAGGGCTGGATTTCCCACAAGGCCACCTCAGACATGGCCTCGGGGCAGCAGGGGTGTGGAATTCCTATCTCCCGATGGCCGGGAGATGCAGTTCCGGCCACCGGGCGGGTAGTTGTTTTCTACATTTAGCCCTTCTTTGGGCAAGCAGGTCTAAATGCACAGCGGGGAAGCTACCGCTTGTTTTGTACAGGTGATCTCGGCAATGTTGCGGAGATCACTTGTATGTAGCCTGCATACGGGGGAAGAGGCATTGAGGAACCTGGCATTGGGGCAGCAGAGAGAGTAAATCCGGCCCTGTCTATAATGAACCATCTTTTCTATCGATGATCCTAAATAACTTTTATTTGTATTAACTGCTTTGTAATTAACTGACTCCTTCGAAATTTGTAACACAGGGAAATCTCTCTAGGATGGGTTGCCTATCGGATAATGATAATCCACAGGCTTGTCTATTATATAAGACATAAACGTGTGCAGTAACTCATTGAGACCAGTTGGCCTCCATCTTTCTGGTTTATTGCATCATCATAGCTCTTTGTACTGTCTTAAAACTTTTTTGTGACTTCTTAAAGGCTAAGTCCCTGCCATTATCTGCCCCCTCCAGCAATGGTACTATGAAAGTGATTGAATTTGGTCCCTATAGGGAAGAAAAATAGACTCCTTCCACCAGAAGATGCAATAGAGCAGAAGAAGAGGACAAACAGTGTCAATGGTGCTGACAGACATACAACAATACAATGACAAGTATACGAAGACATTAGTAACCCTACCAAACCACCAACATGGGTCACTCTTGTTACTTACAGAGAATCCGGCCCACGATGGACACGAATGTTTGATCTTCAAATTCGGAGTGATGGAAGCGGTGACCAGGCTGAATGTGACAATCAGCACCCCGAGAACGACCTGTACAAAACCTAAGGCCAGCAGGACATGAGACCAAGCCCGGTGGATCCTCAGCTGGGATAGACTGCGAGATGTCCGACCAGTCAGGGAAAAACTGGAATCCGATGGGGAGGGCATAGCGAGGGTGTAAGACGGAGGAGGCCAGGACAGAATTGCAAGAATAGCGTTCATTAGGAAGAAACCCCCAATCCAACATAACACCGAGGGGGGTTTACATCAAACCTGCTTTAGTTCATGTCAATACTCTGATTTTCACGTTCAGCGCACAATCCATGTTGGGTGTGAGATGGGAATTTAACCCTCGGTGAATGTTTACGAGCGGAGAGTCATCACATTCTCAATTCACAAACAGGATTATAAATATTTAAACATTTAAAGGAAATGAGGCCACGGCGTGAAGAAAACAAAGTCAGCCAAGGAGGACTGTGGTCAATAACCAGTTCCAGTAGCAACAGAATTTAAGGCCAGGTTAGAACTTGAACGATGGCAATTATCAGGCAGCAAAGAACTGGACGCCATCGGCTCACAATGGGGTCCTGGCAGAGCTTGGCAGCCAACATAGGCTACGGGAAAATGTGAGCCATTGTCAAATCCACATCATTCTACATGGTGAAAAGCCTAAGGACAAAACTTATTTTAGTTCTTCCCAACAGCTGCTCCTCCAAAGTCCTCGACAAACCTCATTTCTGGAATGGCATAGGCTTCCTTCTGTACATCTAGTTGATACCACAAGTCAATTGTGCAGAAAAGGTCAGGTCCTCCAAGCTTGAAGTGGCTGGAAGATGGCAGCCTGGATGGTTGTATAACAAGAGACATGGGCTAAACACCAAGGAGGTGCAAATCACGATGAGGTAGCAAGATGTAGACGATGGAACTGGATGGAAGGTCCATACGATGGTGGAACAATGATGATGGAACGAAGTTCCAGAGGGTGAGGAGGTTTATGAAATAGTGCCTAGACAAGGTTCAGATGACGTATGAAGGTACTATCAGGATAGTCAGGAGATGTCCATGTGGTGATGACATATGTGATCAGATGACTGTTTGGATGTGTTTGGCTAGTGAAATGCTCAGCAGAATGGAACGGTGAATCGTTGTGGAGTTGTCTGACCTTTTGTCTTTGCTATAGACCTCTCTGATGGCACCACATGGAATGGTTCTCCAGCACTCAATCCTCGACAGAGGTCCCACGTCCCATTCTGCCTAGGAGACCATCAGCCATCTATCTTAGGTGGGTCCGGAGCTCCAGTCTGAGGTGCAGGGGGAATCAGCAAGGAGCCACAGCAGATGAGGGAGCTCCAGTCCGGTTTCAGCCAGATGGCTTACAAAGCGTTAAACCAACAACCTGGCAGATGCGGAAAGTTGTAGCCGACACAGAAACATCCGATTCCAGGGGACAGGGACCATCTAAGTCCAGAGGACGGAGATCACCTAACTCCACAGGACGGAGATCATTCTGTCTCCTGGCAGCCTGTCAGATGTCTCATTAAGGGGGGGGTGGAGATGATGTGCTGACTCTCCTCCAGTGGTACCCAGTGCTATCTCACTCAGCATCATGTCTGCAGCAACCTGACAGCTGCATTACTGCACAGCCTCCCAGGCCCGCTGCAAAGCATGCTGGGGAATGTAGTCTGCGGGGAGTGGGGGTGGGGGCGATGTCACAGACCTTAAAGGACCATTCAGTCTCATGTATATGATGTTGGTGGAGGACTTGGGAAAAGGGTTAATGACAGAGAGGACGGTATCCGGGGAATAGAGGCTCACACACATCAGGACCATTCACTACAGCAGCACCGATGGCTGTTACCGATAGCAACCACATGCCACTTGTAATTAAATGCCCCTCGGTGGCAGTGAAAGGATGCTTACGGGCAAGCGGTTGACGGGCAAACAGTTGGCACAGGAGCTGACACTTTGCAGCACATGGCCGTCTTGCAGAGTAAAGAGATTACAGAACAGATCCTCACCCCCTCCTCCTCCCCTGCTCCCAGAGGACCGGCTCTCTAATGGAACCATTTTAGCCGGATCCTGCGCGTCTGCTCGGGTTTCAGTCAGCAGAAAGGAAACAATCCTCCAGCTCATTAATATTTCATGGCTTCATATTCCTGAGCCGGGACTGCGCCAAGCCCTCTGTCAATGAGCACCGCTCTGCAGCTAACCAGGATAGCATTGTGTGTAAAGGAGGCTGGCGGGGGCGGCTCATATAGAGGGGTGTAAGAAGAATATATAGGAGGCGATGGTCGCTCTCCAGCAGCAGAAGGCTATAGGAACGTCCAATCAGTGTTAGACGATTGTTGCCCCATGATATCATCACCAGGCCTGTAAAATTCTAGGGAGGTCAGTTCCTATTGACGTCGG